GTGGCTGTTTCACATCAACAATGTTACCTGGATTGAGAAAACTGTTTATCTTTTTTGCTAGCCTTACAATAGTTTTAAGATATTGTTCTTGTATTTTTAAATGAAACCAACATTCCAGGTTGGTTTGCCAAAAGAAATTTTGTATTTTCTTACAGGGTTGAAGGTTGTGAGACTTGGAAAATACCTATACATTCTAGACTCTTGGCAGGAGACAAAACTTTCAGCCCATACAATCTTTTTGTTGTTGTATTTCAAAGTATTGCAGGGGTGCAAATGTTTCTGGTTACATGGATCACTTTTGTAATGCTAGAGTCAAAGTTAAAAGTGTGCCTGTCACCCAGATAGTGTTCATTGTACCTACATAGGTTTTTGCCTGTTACTTCCTCCCCTCTTCTCTCCTACTTGATTTCCATTGAGTTTTACTTCCCTCTGCAGCACCAAAAATCTTAATGATTGACTTTTATGTGTGTTAAAAGCCTCACAGGAGAATTGCTCATCTTGTTTGGGAGAGAATCTACAGATTGAGGCACAAAGTAGCCGCTAACAGAGGGGAAAAAGAAGGTGGCCCCTGGCAAACGTAGGGATGTTAATTGGAGAAAAGGGTGACCTGGGATATTCACATCTTTGGAAAGGGAGGAAGTATTTACTGGGACCCTACCCCACCTAGTGCATGATGTTTTTGTTCACAACCAAACCAGAAAGTATTGTCCCACTTGGGTGAGTGAAATCTCCTAAGAGCCAAGTTAGCGTAGATTGGAATGATCTATGGATTCTTCCAGCAACGGCAAAGACACAATAGACCTGCTTTGTCAAGAATACATAGTGCATCTCTCTAGGGGCCTGAAACCAGTGGCAGGCATGGGGAAGTTAGCACTACTTCCTCAGGGATTCCCTTTCCCCTGAGCCCCTGGCTGAAATGGCTGAGGACATACATCGATTACATCTGAAATGAACTGTACTATTGCCTGACAAACATGGGGTAAAAACACATCTCTTCTGGATAGGATACCTACTGAACCTGTCCCCTTTAGAGCCTCTAAGCGTAGAAAAAAACAATGGTACCCTTTTCCCAACACATACGGTTAAGAAGAAAAACAGTTTTAAGCCAGAATATGCAAATTTTACATTAAAGAGAAAATAAAAATACTTTCTGGATTTTCAGATGGGAATATTCTAATAAATTCATTAACACTGAGCCGTGTTCTCCCTTTCTCTCTCTCTCTCTCTCATTTTTAATGCCTCCATCCTGTGTTTAGTCTGCCCATTCAGTAATCCAGCATAGCCACACCACGCTGCTCAAGTGTACAAATTTTCTTCATGTCCCATCTTTATTTTAGTTTTGAACCTACTTGCCAGACATTCTCAACCGTACAAAACATAGGGTGGTTGTATGGATATGTAGATATGCTAAGATAATAATTCTTACTTTTATAAATTTTAGGCCAAGGCTTAGGATTTCAAAGCAATTTCTATAGCTTTTTTGCCTTTCATCATCATAAATATCCTGTAACTGAAACTAGGATTTAGAAGTCAAAGCAATAGATTTTGGAGGCAGATGGACTTGAAGGGTTTTATGGGTTTGATGGATTTGAGACTTAGCACATTGACCCAGAAACATATTTTGATAAACATTTCTTCTGGAAAACAAGAGAATTGAATGATTAAAAACTTTGATATGGCACTGGGTAGAAAAATATCTAATAGCTACCTATAATAGATAGGTTACAGAAAATTAGAAAATATTATAGTGGAAGAGTGAGAAAGCATTGAACCATAATGCATATTAATACTAATATTCATTTGTAAATTTGTGTCATTATTAATCGATATGCAAAAATTAACATAATTTTATAATTATACAATAAAAAATATATGTATTAAAATGAGTAAAATATTTCAGATCACTATCATTTTAAAAAACATCATATGACAATAACAAAAATATTTTAAATTAGCAATACTATTTTCCAAAATATAAGTCAAGAAAAAAATTCTCAGTGCAATTTTGAAGGTGGGTTAACTCATTTGAAAGTGGGACAATTTTTTTGTCATGAATTTTAACACATATACAAAGTCTGCTGTGTATAAAACCATGTGGGGAAACCAATTATTTGCAATGCAGATCAAACCTCACTTAGAACTTGGTAAACAAAAATGTTACTATTTACAAATATGTTATTTATGTTGAGATATTATAGGTGTGAAAATTGCTAATAAAAATTATGACTTACTGGAATTTAAATATATCTTTAAAATTTTTATTGTTTGCTCAAAAAGTGTTTTAAGGTTAACTTTACCATTTTAATGCCTGAATTAAGTTTTCTTGGCAGGTGGACAAGTCCCATCTGCTAATTTACCAGTGATTTGGGTCACTTGCCAATTGGAGTATTTTAAAATGAGGGCTATTGAGACAAAAGTATAGACTATTAGCTGCCTATGTCTTCATAAGTATCAGCTGCTCTGCCACATTCAGGGTGCAAGTAACAGCAAATCTATTTCCTTTTTCCCAAGTTAAATTAAACTGGTTTATACCCCAGCCTGCCGCATTGGGGAAAAATCCTATAGCACACTCTTCCGGGGGTCCCCCAACCCCTACCTGTGTTCATCAAAAATTGTGGTGGCTTTTCATTCCAACAAAAAGGTCCACCCACTTTCATTTCATTTCTATGTAGGGAAGAACTTAGTGTCTCAAGGTCTGCTGTTGCCTGTGGCCATTGCTCCTCATTGCCACACACTGCCCCTCTTGACTGTCCACTGAACTTTCAGAGCCACAGAGAAGTCGCCCTCAACAAACTTTTGCCACAGATCATCCTAAGTTTTCAAAGGAGGCCACATTTTGGGTGACTCCATCTGACCAGAGACCAGAGTTCCCTCCTCTGGGTTCCCTAAACATCACCTAAGTGCCCACACAGCTGATTCTTCTGCCAAGAGGTGCCGTGCTTGAGCTGATAGACGGGGTCAGCCCATCACAAAATATGCAACTGCTGTCTCTCTTCCCAGTCTCAAAAATTTAGGGACACTGGGGGGAGGGTTGGCCTTTCTTTCCCAACTTGCAAAACACAGAATGTTCATTCCATACCCTTCATCGAGAAACGGCTTGCTTTGAGAAGGACTCAAATGATGGTTAATGGGAAATACATCTTCTGCTTCCCTGATCAGTCACCCTGCCCAGGATGATCCAGAGGAATCTCCGGCATCTATCTTGCTAAAGCCACCACCACCACTACCAACAACAGCAGAATTCAAACCAGAAATTATATCTTCAGTGGGTCACCTGCCACCTTCATATCATAAAAATCTGCAGGTGCTTCTCTATTTTTGAAAACATCTACTGTTTCCAATGAACTATCTGTATGTTCTCTTAGGTGCCAGTTTTAGGTAAAAATTTTAGATGGGACTTTTATTTTATTTTATTTTAAGAAAAGCAGCAGGTAGGGACCTTTATTGTTGTCTATTCTTCAAGTAGGCTATAGAGCAGCAAAGCTGTCCAATAGAACTTTCTGAGATGATGGATATGTTCTATATCTGCACTGTTTAACATGACATCCATGTGGCCATTTAGAACTCAAAATGAAGCATGTGCAACTGAAAACCTGAAATTTAAATTTTATTTAATTTTAAATAATTTAAATTTAACCAACACATGTAGCTAATAGCTTATGCATTGGACAGATAGAGTATTTGCCTTAATTACTCTTTCTGAAAGAAATTAATCACAATTCATTTCCAGAGTGAATCTTTTTTCCTAAACTCTGAGTTTAAATGTGACTTTAATAGACTCCTCTTTAGAAAAGCAAAACAAAACACTCCATCTGGCATTTTTTAAAAACCCTGAAAAGATGTGTTTTTGTTCTTTTATCAAAACAAAAGCTTGTTATAAACTGGAGAAGCAGATATTTTTGCTGGATGAGCCTAACCCATTGGCCGTTCCCTCCTCCACAGCATGTCTTTTATAAGTTAAACATTTGCAGTGGTAACATAAATAATTTCTCTCCAAAATGAACACACACCGAATTCTGAATGCAGAGAGGCAGTCTTTACCACTCCACCCCTCCTCGACCCATCTTCCTGTCAACAGGACCCGTCTCACTGAGCTGTTCTATGAATTGATTCATTTATGAAATGCACTTTTTTCCGTCTTAAAAATAAGACCCTACTGTGTAGAGAAATGAAAAATTAAAAATAAATGTGAACTCATGTTATTTCTTCAGATGATTTCTTTGATAATTTGCCTTCAACTAAAACAAGACTGAGTTTGGTTAATAGTCTCACCCAGCAGACTCTGGTTTATATCCCAACCCAAAAGCTAAATATATACGAGGCTCAATTGTCTTTAGCAGGAGGTATTTTAATTTACCATAGGGCCACAGTTTTGTCCACGGTTATTTTTAGAAGCACATTCAAGGCCAGGCACAGTGGTTCACGACTGTAACCCTAGGACTTTGGGAAGTTGAAGCGAGAGGATTGCTTGAGGCCAGGAGTTCAAGACCATCCCGGGCAACATTGCAAGACCCCGTCTCTACCAAAAAAAATAGAAAAATTAGCCGAGCGTGTTGGCACTGCCTGTTGTCCAAACTAGTTAGGAGGCTGAGGTGGGAGGATCACCTGAGCTGAAGAGTTTGAGATTACAGTGAACTATTAATATGATCATGCCACTGCACTCCAGCCTGGGTGTCTGAGCAAGACCCTGTCTCAAAACAAAACAAAACAAAAGAACATTCATATTGGACAATTGTATCCTCTGCCACAAGGGCTAAACTTAGATGCCAAAGATCCATTTATCTTCTCTGACACTTACTGGGCCCCATATTTTCTAAAATTATTCTTAAAATGTTTGACCACTCCGAAATAATTCCAATGTTCAAATATTATATATTTTGAGGTAGCTGAAAAGTGAATCTGTAAAGAAAAATCATTAATTTTTGATTCTGTGACAAAAAGGCTAAGAAATATCATTTGGAAAATACTATATCTATATTTAGAAAGTCTAATTTGTGCCACTTGAAGTCAATAGATCTTTTAACAAACAACTGACGTAGCTGAGTCTTCAATAAACATGATTTAAAAACTGCCTCTCGAAGAACCTGTTGAAAAGAATTATAATTCAAATTTAGTTAGTGGTTTGAACAACAAAATATTTTCTACTAAAAATGAAAGATTATGCTAATTTAAAGAATATATTTTCTCCTTGACTTTCTAATGTGGTGGCCTGAGAGATGTGCCATAACTCTAATAATAATTTATTCAAGAATTCAAAGCCTATGTAAGTCTATATACAGTCTATATAAGTATCATGCAAAACTGTGCTTAATTTAAAATGCTTTCTACTGAAGAAGGAAAGTCATACATCAGAAATGTACCAAGGGGATATGTGAGTAAATAACACTAGGAAATTCAGGCAGATGCCTTAGGAGTTTGCTCCTGTGGGTCTGACCATTAAAAAGAATTATGTACTGAAGGAAGTAAACTTGTACCAAAAGGCAATAACAGTGCATCACTGGCTTGGTCTCTGAATCCAAGATAGGATTGATAAAATCTCTCATCCACACGATATGGCTAGGAACAAGTGCATGAGAAACACATAGATATACATTATTTATTTCTGTTGTACTCAGCACAGCGGGATCTGTGCCCTTTAAAAATTAACTATGTAGACATTGAGATGAGTAATTTGAAGTCAGTGATGGATTTGTTACACTGAGTATGTTCCCTGTCCTCATCAAAGAGCCACAGGAATAAAGGGACTCAAATTATGGTGAAAATGTTGCCTAAGGGGGCAAAATAAGTTTCCTTAATGAAATAATGAGATATGAAAATCATTCCCTGAGAGTTGGTACGATCTCTGTCCTGCAATATTTCAAAAATAGGGTACTCCCCATCTATCTGATACTGGTGCCTTAAATGTAGCTTCTTTGGAAATAGGGGCTATACTACCTATAAGGCTGGGAGTTGCCCATGTGTGGCCATAAATCTAGAATGTAGCTGTTTTTTTCTATCCATGGATATTTGCACTGTGTGCCTTACTACAGACCTTGCTTTACAACTGAGCCAAAAGAGCTCAGTAATTATTTGTTGGATCAAATGAATGAATGCAGAAGGAAATGTAATTTCTATTGCTACATCACAATAGTGTCCCATATTTAGTAGCTTAAAACACAAATATTAATTATCTCATAGTTTGTATGGGTCAGGAATTTGGGAGTAGCTTAGATGAGTGGTCAAGGTCTCTCATGGGGTTGCCACCAAGGTGCTGCGCTATGGTCTTCTGATGGCCTGATTGGAGCCCTAGGATTATCTGCCAAGGTGGGCACACTCATGTGGGTCTAGGCAGGAGACCTCACACTCTCCTGGCTGTTGTCAGAAAACCTTGGTTCATGAGTACCCTGACCACGTGGTAACAAGTTTCCTCTAGAGCAAATGATACACAAGAACAAATTAGAAGCTACAATGCCTTTTATGACCTGATCTCAGAAGTCATGCTCTGTCATTTCACAACATTCTATTGGTTAAACAAGTTGACCCTATGCAGTGTGAGAGGGGATGGATTGCACAAGGGGCATGAATACCAGGAAGTTGGGGACCTTTGGAGTTCTTGGAGGCTGGCTACCATGGACAGGTTATTAGAACTGCCAATACAATTATACACTGTAGGTCTGTATTGAACTTTGGCTTGAAAGTGAACAGTTATATGTTGTTGTGTGCTCATCTGGAAGACGATTCCCTCTTTCCCATGCACTATCCTGGCCACCCTTTCTTTTCCCTCCTGGGTGTGGCTCTAGGCAAAATTGTAAAATATCTTCCTTCACATACGTTTATTTGACACACAGATCCCTTTTTCTCCCATCGCTAATGGTATTCCATGGCTACACTCTCTTATTGATTCTTTCCACCAAAATGTATTTATCGTTTCCTTTTTGCAAGGCTGTTTCTGATCAAATCAGAATCCCTGTTTCTGATTAATATGTGCTCATGAGCTAATGTGTTAATAGCAGTGAGTAACAGAGGAGGCATTTTAAGGAAGGTAACAAGGATGGATTGTGGAATTAGGCTCCCTGTGTTCCAATGCCCTCTCCAGCTGCAAACTTGCTGTGTTTCTTGTGAAAGTTTCTTAAATTCTTTTGGCCTCATCTGTAAAATAGAGATAATCATAGAAGCTATGTGGTGGGTCCTGATCAAGCCCACTGCACTGAAACCTCAAGTAAGCCCAGTGGCATAACAAGAAAAAGAATGCAGGAAGGTATAACTGTAGCATAATAAGAATTTCCTCCCGCGATGACAAAGTGGGCCCCGAGAGCCAACAGGGCTCCTCCCCACAGCTGAAATGGTAAGAAGGTAATGAGTGAGCCTGCAATTCTGCAGCTCTCTGGATTCATAGATTTTTTTCACTTTGTCCCAACTGGATGTGCTTATTTATGGTAGAGACAAAAAGAAGTACCCAAAAGCTAAGTCCATTTATATCCTATATCCTCTGTATGCCTTTGTTTTGTTTTTTTACTATTTTATCCTTATGGATAGAACCTTGTTTATAATCCTTGATAATTCCATGGGCTGAGCAGTCCTTGTAAATGTCATGATGCACATGGAGTGATGAAGGAAGTGGTTGAGAGGTGGCGGATCTGTACCTAGTGATTTATCTGGGAAGCATGCAAATCCTTAAAGCTTCTCAGTCGGGGCAAGACCCACTGTGGCTAGCTGGCTATGGCAGGGTCCTTCAGGGCCATTGAAATGGGTAGAAGTAGAGACTAAAGTCAGCCCACTGTAGGAGTCTGGGAGCACAGGGACAATTATTAATATTAGGGAGCAGGAGGCAAACACAATGAAGAAATGGGTGGAGATCCCAAGTTTCGATGTACCTGGAGTTAAGCCAGAGGAAATGGAACTGTGTAAGGAAAAACAAGGAGTCAGAATGTCAAAGCAGAATAAAGAGGAGTAAAGGGTGAGCCAAGAAGCAAATGAATAGTCTGTGGCTTAGAACAAAGAAGGCCAGAAGGGCGGATCACAGGGGGAAGAAAGGACCAGCCTGAGCATCCTGATTTGCCCTCTGCCGCTCAAAGTGCCTGTCCTTGCTCACACAGGTGATAGAGAAGGTTGAGCAGATGGGTAAGTGAAGAAGGAGTTGCAGGAGGAAGTTTAGAAGAGGATGAATTTTCTACCCTGAAGACAGTCCTCCGTGGCCAGTTGCTTACTCACCCTGGTAGAGTTCTGGCCCTGTGTCTCCCTTGCATTTTCATGAAACATTTCCTCAGGCCAGCTCCTGACCTTGCCAGAGTCTCAGATATGACATCATGCTAATGTTTCTGTCACCATGGGAACCTGAAAATATTTATCTGCAACCCCCACAGATGGAACATAAGATCAATAAACATTAGGCTCCATCAGTCTTTGAAAATATGCCACTGTGAGAAATATGGAAAGAATTTACCTTTCATTATTTTTAAAAATAACTCAGAAAGTTAGAACATGGACTGGGTATTAGATAATATTAAGTGATAATTGTTAATATTTTAGGGTGTGACAAGGGTATTGTGGTTACCTTGGAAAATGGCATGGATGCATCAGGTTTTAGAGGCCTAGTCTAGTATCTGGATGCAATCTCACTAGAGGATCCCTATTTTGTAATTGTCTTGGTCCATTTTCTGCTGCTGTGACAGAATACCACAACCTGGGTAATTTATAAGGAAAAGGAGTTCATTAGGATCATGGTTCTGGAGGATGGGAAGCCCAAGACCAAGGGTCTGCATCTGTTGATGGCCTTCTTGCTACCTAATAATGTGGGGGAAGGGCAAATTAGCACACATAAGACAGAATAAAAAAATGGAGACTGAACTTTTATCCTTTTATCGGGAGCCCAATCCTGCCATAACTAATCTACTCCTGCAACAACACTGTTCATGAGTGCAGAGACCTCATGATCTAATCAACCTCTTAAAGCTCCCACCTCTCAACACTGTTGCAATGTCGATGAAATTTCAACATGAGTTTTGGTGGGGACATTTGAGCTATAACAGTAGTGATCTTGTTTGATTTGCAGATTCCGTCCTGTGGAGCTGACATCATATATTTGACACCCTCATACTGGGCACATCCCTCATTGATCCACTCATCTTGTCCTGCCTCATCCTCTGACTATAGAGCTCTTGCCTATCTTCTAACTTCTGATGTTCTTATTTAATGATGGCCTTGTTTCACCCCTTACACCTGAAATTGGGCACTCCATTTCTGGCTTCAACATTTTTCTTTCTTCTTCAACCATAACATGAGCTCTCCTTCTGGCAATATGTCATGAGTTTTCCTAATAAATATCTTCAGCCCTCATGTCTTGGTTAGGTGTATGTGTGTTTGCTGTCCGTGATGAATTTGTCACTAACATGAGATGAGATCTTCACATTGATGACCATATTTATTGCCTTCTTTGAAATATGTCTGAAACATGTCAGTTCTTTTTTTCCTATCTCAAAGTCCGTGTTTTCCTTTGGGCCACCCACTAGGTTTGTTTCCTATATGTAGCATGCTTCCTATACTTAACTTACTGGTTGAGTAGAAATTATTGGTGTATACTAAATCCAATAAATGACCTAAATTATCCTGGCTTGGAAGCTCAGTCCCATTGATCTCTCTTCAACAACATATCAATCATGCTACTCCAGGTACCCACTTCTGTATTTTACCCTCATATATTATCAAATTATTTTATAAGTTCTACCAAATGTTTGCAATTGTTTACTGTATAATAGAGAGGACTTCATGGAGTGCCTGGCTTGGTAAACTTTTGATCCTCACAGATCTATTACCAAAAGCTCAGCACTTGTCCTCAAGGCCTCATCAGAATGAGAACAAATGGTTTAAGGAGAAAGAAAGAGAAGTTTATTACTTTGCCAGCAAAGGAAGAAAATGGTAGACTCTCATCTCAAAACATCCAAATTTCCTGCACATAAGCAGAAATACAGAGCTGTTAAGGGGTGGGTTCTCAGTCTCAGGAAGCTGTTCAACAACAGCTAATGATTATAATTATTCCATCTCCACTGAAAGCAATCCCATGACCTTCACCCAGGACCTCCCTCTACCAGGTCTGGGTTGAGCCATCTCCTGTAGCACAAAGAACGAAAGACTTAACCTGGTCCTCCTAACCACTGGCCTGAGGCAGGGATGCAGATTTTAGTTCTCAAAAATGAGTGGAGGATGTTTTAAATAGAAAATATTTTTGCCATTTTTTTCAGGCCATTCTCTCTGTTACAGATCCAGAAACTGAACTTCCAAATTCTAACATAAAAATTCATAGAAATTATCTAAATCATTCACTCACATCTAGAGTAGCAAATTCTACATCTTGCTATTACTTAGTGCCAAGGCTCAGAACACAATACTCCAAAGTATGTGCCTTGGCATACTGAGTACTTCGAACAGAAGGAGATTGGAAGGATCTCAGAAGCAAGGACTCTCTGACTTTCTTGTGTCCTCCTGCTTCCTACCCCTCTTTCTGTCTCCCTTGGTGCAAGACATAGAAACCAGGATTCCTCTTCCCTGAGGTGGGTCATAGAAACTAGAATGCCCCTTTCCCAAAGCCATAAGCCTAGAAAGGTCACTGTCTCCCTTCTCCTTTCTCCCTTGAAGACCTTCATTCCAGAGGGGTCCTGCCCCACACCCAGGAAGAAGGGAGTCTACACAGACAGGCCAAGACGAATCTGAACAGACAGGCCTTGCTGGGCTTCCCCCACCCCCACTCAGTCTATCACTGTTAGATCACACTCTTTTGTCCATCCATATTTCTGCATGGCTGTCCATTCTTCATTGGGCCTAAGCATAAAATAAGACAATTTTCCTTGAGTCTTTGGGTCATCATTTCTGAAGTTTCCCATGCCCTGTGAAACTTTGATTAAATAAATGTGTTATGCTTTTCTCTTTTTATCCTGTCTTTAGTTATAGGAGTGTTGGCTAAGACCCTTATGATGGATGAGGAAAGTATCACATTGTTCTGCCTCTACAATAGTAAACTCAGAAAACATGAGAGCATTTTGGAGTAAACAGTGACATCTTTAGAAGTTGGTATAATCCATATTGACAACTTGCATTTGCTCTTCACTTGGCCAGAGAGAATTTCAAGCAGTGGCTGTGGTTTTGCTCAATTCCAGGCTCACCCTTATGTTGTACCCTGGGGCCCCTTGCTCCAGTGAAGGTGCTCTTTGGAGCAGCATGAACCGAGGCCCAGGTAAAGAGGAAATTCATCCACTTTTAGGACATGCTTGTACTTGACCTTAATTGAATTCAATTAAAAATATTTACTAAGTTTATTTGATCTAGAACCCATTATACTAGATGCTAGAATCCTGGAAGAGATTTTTAAAAATATAAGCAACCGTCTTTATCTTCAAATAGCTTTCAGCTTAATAAAAATTTACATAAATAATTATGGTAGAACAGAGAAAAGTAAGAGGTCTGAGAGGGTGCCCAAAAAAACCCTGAGGGAGTTTGATGAAAAGAGACATTTAGGCAGTTGAGTAGAAAGTGGGTGGTGTGAGGAGGCATTTAACATGGGCCTGCAATGATAAATGTGATTTTGATGGCAGCAGTAGGAGAGGGGAGGGTGGGAAGCTGCAGTGTGTTTCCTTTGGCTGAAGGTGATGGAATTTTTAGAGGAAAGAGTGGGAGATAAGATTGGAAAAAGTGGTCAAAGCTCAATTATGCAGAGCCTTGGATGTCTGTGTAAGTTCATCAAGCAATAAAGAGAAACTCAAGGCTTCCAAGCAAGGAAAATATGACAGAGCTTCAATTTGGGAAGATTAAATTGATGAGAGTATGAGAATATATAGGATGGAATAGTGTGAGGACATGGGGGGCAGTACATAGGGAAAAACAAATGAGATCTGAATTAGGATGAATGTTATGGCAATTGAAAGGCTGAGACAGAAGGAGGGACCAGGAGCCTTTTTATTAGGGAAAGAAGTAAGCATATTGTTATGGAAAGTACATTTACATTTGCAAAGAATGGTATATAAATGCAAAGTTTGGTGGAACCAAAGGAATCACAAATACAGTTATTCATAAAACAAGATTTCACAATGTCACCATCAAGTTTTACATCACAAACTGGAATTCTGATTCTCGGACTGCCAAATGCAGCAAGTTGACACCTGTCCCAATGAGACCCTGTCTGGGATCTCCTATCTGATGATCAGCCCAAGATTTATAAAAGACTATCTGTCATTGGAGATGGCCATGTCTTAAGGGAAGAGCAGATAAGAAGAATATATGAAAAAAAGGTTTGGGGAGAGGAGAAATTCAAATGCATTTCTTAAATGTGAAAAAGGAAACAACTGAAGTTAACATTATTATTGGAATTAATTCACAAAGCTAACAAACGTAAGTTCTCTTTTGCAAAACTGCACAGACTGAATAAGAATTGGGATTTCATAAGGTCTGCTATCTCCAAAGGACAATCTAGCAATCCCAACCTTTCTTGTAGTAATCAGTATTTTCCCCTCTCCTAAGCATCAAGGCTGTTCCATTATCACCTATGTTGCGGTGCAGAGAATGATATCCCAAGGTATGGTGCTTTGGTGTGCTGAGCACTTTGAATTAAAAGAAATTGAAAGCCTGAGAAGCTGCCTCAGAACAAAAACTTTCTAACATTCTCTTGTTTATTCCCCCACCTCAAGTGCAGAGAGGTACTCTCTGAGATTTCCTTACCTGACTAAGGAAGCTTCTTTCCGAAAGAAATGCAATTGTCCTAATACCCCTTCCCGAGGGATATCATCAGTTAACCAGGAAAGATTAACCACTAAAAGTTATCACCACACCCACACAGATTTTTCATTTATTTTTCTGAGGGCAGCTCTGAAAGGTTACTGGAAGACTTTATCTACATAATACCACAACCTTTGTTCACAGTGCAATTCTGCCCCTTTCCTTCCCATAACTTGCCAGTCCCATTCAATCTATTACAAGAATCATTTATAAGATAATATCTGCCTCTCGGGTCTATTTATCCCCCCTCAAAATCATTTACTATCCCTCAAAATTGCCACATTTCCCCCATTTCTCTCTCCTCCCTATTTAAAAGATATTTAAGTAAAAATCATTTGGCCCTTCTTGGACAGTCTCATATTTATGGGACTTCTGTGTCCATATACAGAATAATAAATGTGTATGCCTTTTTCTGCCTATTGTCGGTGCATTTTCAGCAAACCTTCAGAAGGCAGAGAAGTTTGCCTTTGCTTCCCACACTTAAAATGAACACCCATAGACAATCCTTTGTATAACTCCAAACCAAGCTTTGAATCAGACATCCCCCCAAACAGAATACCCTCTCTCAATAGCAGAAAAAACTTCAAGAAAATATGGGGGTGGGTGAAGAGAGAGCCCCAAAGCCATATAAATATAATAGTGAAAATAGTTATACTGAAAAGATAAATAGAAACAACTAGTAAGTACTCTGAATATTCTGGTATACATCTAAGACCTTTTTCTAGAAGCTAGAAATTATTGAGTCTTCAGGGACATAAACCAGAGCAGGTCTCCAGAAGGTTCTAAATGGTTATTGGCTGCTGTGATCACAATCTGTTAATACTGGGAGGTTATTCCCCTCATGGGCCTCGTGGGTAGAGAATTTAAAACACTTTCTTAGACTAAGCAACCCCCCGCCTCCTACCTGCACTGAGTAGTTTTGAATTTCATTTAGTGAAAATAGCTTCCTTTCATACATCAAAAAAATTGTAGCATAATTTTAAATATGATTGCTTTTTCATGTAGCCTATGTAGCTAAAAATAGCCAACTTTAAAAAAACAAACATGTTTTTCCTGTCACTGTTTGCAGCCTTCAAATTTGTAGCAACACTATAAATTCATTCAAAATGCAGAAATCTCAAAGAATTATGCCTTTCTGAAGAAATAATAACATGGCTGGCTGTGGTGGCTCATGCCTGTAATCCTCGCACTTTCGGAAGCTGAGGTGGAAGGATTGCTTGAGTCCAGGAGTTTGAGACCAGCCTGGGCAAGAGCAAGTCACCGTCTCCATTAAAAATAGAAAAATTAGCTGGGTGTGGTGGCGCATGCCTGTAGTCCCAGCTACTCAGGAGGCTGAGGCAGGAGGGTGGCTTGAGCCCAGGAGTCTGAGGTTGCAGTGAACTGTAATGATGCCACTGTACTCCCACGTGGGTAACAGTGAGAACCTGTCTCAAAAAAATAAAATAAAATAAAAATAAAGAAAGAAATAATAACACCACCTTCCATGTTGGACATATTGTAAATTGTATGTAATGATTGATGGGGGAAAATTTGGGCTCGTAGCCTTAAAAAGGTAAAATTTTTCAGAGTCTTCCCAGTTCTACTGTTTGCTTTCAAAGAAATTTATTGCAAACTAGTATATTCATTATTCTCTATTGAGTACACTTAGCCACCAATTACATGAAAATGTATTATAAAAATAATTGCTTTTCATCCTCATTAACCAACTATTAGGAAGAAAAATGATGAGAAATCATTCAGCATTTTATTAATTCTAAAACAGTATTTCTAATGAATCCTCTTATCAAGTTATATGTAGAAAAGCATTTCCCTCCCTATTTTCTAGTGAATTAGGCAGCACTTGAACAGAAAGATAGATACTCCCATTATGAACACATTACAGCATTCCCCATGGATACAGAGACGGCAGCATTTGGGTGGAAATTAAAGCTTCCCTTCCCACTGGTCCTTCTCACAGGCTTTGTAGCAGGTTTAATTGAACCTGGCGCACCCTCCTAGCTTTTCTACACAAAAATTTACTCTTTATTCCTTTTTGAGTAATTGCTAGGAAGCTAGCGAATCCTTTTAGATGATGTGTGTCCTAAGGCTCAAAAGGAAAGGGAAGTGCTGTCCTAAGGCTCCAAAACCCCCCAAGGAATGAGGCAAAGAACAAAAGACTTGCACCTGCGTTTTCCTTCCAGCCTTTTACCTCTGGTGGATGCAGGCGGGGTCTGTCTTCTCCACCCCCACGCCTCATCTGTGGCTACACTTAGCCTGGCTCATTTCCTGAAAAAAATAAAGGTTTATCAGGGTGCTACCTGGTTGACTTTCACACCTGTTCTCAACATCTACCTTTGGTTCAGGGCTATAGATCACACCGTTGGATTTCTGTCTGAATTGTCTCGTTATCCTCATCAATATTTTGGGAGTGGACAAACAACGGAGAGCTTTAGCAGGTCTGAAGGGACCAGGGCTGTGGTTTTAAGTTCCTCAGCTTTCTTTTAAATCCAGTAGAGGAAAATCACATCTACTCAAATCAATTTACTCAATTTACATCTACTCAAAAACATTTAGTCATTACAAGCTATGTGCAAGACACAGAGGGGCCAGGACAGGATAAATTGCTAAATGGGTCATAGAAAAGGTCCCAACCTAGTCCAAAGCTGGGAGGAGAAATTCTAACAGGATTCAGCTGAGGCTGTGTGAAGACAGAAGCAATTGACTTGAGGGCTTGAAGGTGGCAGAGGATTTGAATGGGCAGAAAGAGAGGGGATTCCCTGGCCGGTGGGACAGTATGAGGACAAATTCAGCTGACAATATGCGAAGTGCTTTGGGAAGACTATAGCACGAGTTGGCTACAGCAGTGGTTCTCAAACTCAGAATCACCTGGAGGGCTTATTACAAACCCGTTGCTAGATTCTCTCGCCTGGCCCCACTTCCCCCACCTCCGAGGTTGCTGGTTGACTAGGCCTGAAGCCAACTGAGACTTTGCATTTCTACCAAGTTCCCAGCTAATGCTGATGCTGGTGGTCTAGGGGTCATACTTTGGGAACCCCTAGGCAAGAATGTAGCACTTCTAAGGCTGAAAAGACGAATGGCTTGTGAATGGCTCTGAAGGTCAGGCTAAGGAACTGGGTTTTATTGCTTAGGCTGTGAAAACTGCTGAATGGATATTTTAAAAGGTGAGATGGAGTTGAGAAATGAAAGAGATGTCTTAGGAAGGATGCTCTGATCACTGTGCTGAGAATAACGTGGAAAAGGAAAGGAACCATCAAAGGGGATTTTCTTAGTGGGTGAGGCCCAAAGGTTAGGTCCTTAACAAGGATGTGGAAGACAGACTAGCAAAAGAAAAGAGATGGTACAAAACCTCCTTCATTTCATTCTCTTTTAAACTAAAGTAAATTCAAAGACATATTTGTACAAGATTTGACAAAATAACTAGCAAAACCTCTGAACTAGTGAAATCCTCTAAACTAATCAAAGGCTATCAAAATTTAGGGCAAAAGGCTCCCTGGAGAAGCTTGTTAAAAAATGCAAATGCATTCTAGGTACATACCCAAAAGAAATGAAACGGGTTCTAACAGATATTTGTATACTCTTGTTCACAGCAGTGAAGGAGCTCAGGAAATTTCACCTCAAAATATGACTCCTTGGTATAAAGAGTATTTTGAATTAAAGGCCCTTAGAGATGAACAGGCCTCGGAATGGCCTTTCCCTTTATCTGCATAAAACCAGAAGGACCCATCAAAAAGAACAATTCACTTCCCTTCCCCTCCCTGTTATCTCAATATATAGCAGGAGAGAAGATCAAGAATATAACCAGACCTGGCCCAAATCGTTTTAAATATACCTGTCTCTTAGGTTAATTTAATTTCCAAAGAGAATCATTAACAAGTCAATCTGTTTCCCCTCATCCATTCATTCTCCCAAGTCTCTGTGCATCCTCCCAGGTAAGCACTTAAATTGCTGCTCAACACAATTACCTATACTCCTCATCTCCCCCTCCTTTTTAAAACAAGGGTATGAAAACTTCTGGACCCCACTGGTATCTGTGATTCTCCTCGTGTGCAGGGTAAATGAATCTCTTTCTCTTTTTACTCTGCCTTATTGTGTGCTGATCTTCCAGGGAACCTTCCATGGTGAAGGAGAAGTTTCCCATCTCCCCCACAGTGGCATTATTCACAATAACCAAAATGTGGAAACAACCCAAAAGTCCATTGACAGATGGATTATTATTCAGCCTTAAAAAAAGTTTTTTATTGAGGTAAAATACACATATATACTTGACCATCTTTATCATTTTTAACTGCAAATTAAGTGTTAATAAATACATTTATATTCTTTTTTCCCCCCTCTTCATCCACCCTCACTCCTCCCCTTTTTGGCCTCTGCTCATCACCAGTCATCACCAATCTACTCTCTATCTTCATGAGATCCACTTTTTTAACTCTCACAGATGAGTGAGAATATGTGATATTTATCTCTCTGTGCTTGGCTTATTTCATTTAGCACAATGGCCTCAAGTTCCATCTATGTTGCCACAAATGACAGGATTTCATTCTCTTTTATGGCTGAATAATATTGTATTGTGTATACACGCCACCGTTTCTTTATTCATTCATCCTGCGATGGGTACCTAGGTCGAGTTCACATTTTGGCTATGGTAGATAGTGTTGCAATAAACATGGGAGTGCAGACATCTCTTTGATATATTGATTTTCTTTATTTTGGAGAGATATATTCAGTAGTGGAATTGCTGGACCATACAGTAGGTCTATTTTTGGTTTTTTGAGGAACCTCCATACTGTTTGTTCTCCATAGTGGCTGTTCTAATAGTGCACATTCCCACCAACGGTGTATGAGGGTTCTCGTCTCTCCACATCCTTGCCAGCATCTGTTATTGTCTGTCTTTGAGATACAAGTAATTTTAACTGGGTGAGACGATGGCACATTGTGGTTTCGCTTTGCATTTCTCTGATGATTGGTGATGTTGGACATTTTTTTCATACACCTTGGCTATTTGTATGTCTTCTTTTCAGAAATGTCTTTTCAGAAATGTCTATTCAGCTCTTTCACCTATTTTCAATTGGATTGGTTTTTTGCTATTGTTAAATGTTCTGGTTATTAATCTCCTGTCAGATGGATAGTTTGCAAATATTTTCTTGCATTCTGTGGGGTGTCTCTTCACTTTATTGATTGTTTCCTTTGCTGTACAGAAGCTTTTTAGCTTGATATGATCTCAATTGTCTATTTCTGCTTTGGTTGCCTGTGCATTTGAGGTATTAACACACAAAAAAATCTTTGCTTAGCCCAATGTCCTGGAGCATTTCCCCAGTGTTCCCCCCCCCCTAGTAGTTTCAAAGTTTCAGATCTTAGATTTAAGTCTTAATTCATTTTGATTTGACTTTTGTGCATGGTGAGAGATAGGGGTCTAGTTTCACTCTTCTATATATAGTTCCCCAGTTTTCCCACCACCATTTATTGAAAAGTTTGTTCTTTCCCCACTGTATGTTCTTGGCACCTTTGTGAAAGTTGAGATGATTGTAAATGCTTGGATTTAAATCTCAGTTCTCTATTCTGCTCCATTTGGTTTATGCGCCTGTTTTCATGTCAATACAATGCTGTTTTGGTTGCTATAGCTTTGTAGTAAATTTTGAAGTCAGGTAATGTGATGCCACCAGTTTTTTCCCTTCTGCTCAGGATTGTTTTGGCTATTCAGGGTCTTTTGTGATTCCATATAAATTTTAGGATTTTTATTTCTACTTCTATGAAGAGTGTCATTGACATTTTGATATGAATTGCATTGAATCTGTAAATTGCTTTGGGTAGTATTTTCATTTTAACAATGTTAATTCTTCCAATCCATGAGCATGAAATATATTTCCATTTTTTTGTGTTCTCTTTTATTTCTTTCATCAGAGTTTACAGTTTTCCTTGTATAGATCTTTTACTTCTTTGGTTAGATTGATTGCTAGGTATTTTATATTTTCTGTAGCTATTATAAATGGGATTGCTTTCTTGATTTCTTTTTTCAGATTGCTTGCTGTTGATGTATATAAATGCTACTGTTTTTTGTATGTTAATTTTGTATCCTGCAACTTTACTGAATTTGTTTATCAGTTCTAAGAATTTATTGGTAGAGTCTTAAAGTTGTTCTAGGTATAAGATTATGTCATCTTTGAACAAGGCTAATTTGACTTCTTCCTTTCCAATGTGGATACACTTTATTTCTTTCTCTTGCCTAATTGTTCTGGCTAGGACTTATAGTACTATGTTGAATAAAAGTGGTACAAGTGAGCATCCTTGTCTTGTTTCAGTCTTTAGAAGAAAAGCTTCCATTTTTCCCTATTCAGTATGGTGTGAGCCATAGGTCTGTCATATGTGGCCTTATTTTTAGGTATGAAAGGAAGAAAAAGTTTGACACATGCTACAATTTGGATAAAACTTGAAACATTATGCTAAGTGAAATAAGCCAGACATAAAAGGACAAATACTGTATGATGCCAGTTATAGGAGGTACCTAGAATAGTCAAATTCATAGAGACAGAAAATAGAATAGAGGCTACCAGGGGCTGGGGAGAGTGGGAACCCAATATTGAATGGATATGAAGTTTTTGTTCAGAATGATGAAAAAGTTCTGGCAAGGAGTGATGGTGATGATTTCACAACAATGTGAATATACCCAATGCTACTGAATTGTACACTTAAAAATTAATATGGTAAATTTTATGTTATGTATACTTTACCACAATAAAAAAAAAAGATGCAAATGCCTGAAGTAACCCCTTCAACTAGAGGATGTGATTCAGTTGGGTGAGATGGGGCCCAGGAATGTAGCTCAAGGGATTCCAAAGCAGGTGCTACAGGACAAACTCCTCTAACTCATCTCTAGGGACAAATACCCCTTTTAGTAAAGTCTTTTGTGAGGGAAGGGATAGGGTTTTGCTTAAAAGGAGAGTTTTCCAGGTACCACTTAGACCAGTAGATTCCCTACCTAAGGCCATAGATGTCCATAATATCGCTGTGACTTCAAGAAATCCTAATAGAAGCCTTCATCTGGGGCCCTGTTCACCATTTGTAGATGACCACATGGGAGAGTCTCCTCTTCTGCACTTCTCGTATTGCATGTTTTCTGTAGTAACTACTAGAAACAGAAGTAGAGCGAGCAACTTAAACACAGATAATGAACTTTGTGCAGTTGAAGCAAAATGCCTAAATTGTATGGCTTGGACTTTGTTTAATTATTGACTGACCGAGAGCTCTCTACAATGAATATTAATTAATGGGAAGCACGAAATAGTCCAGCAGAAAGCAGAATGGAATATAGATGAGGATAATGGGAGTTGAAGTTGCAGAAGCAGGATAACTACTATGAACAAGGATCTGCATTAGGACCAGAATGGAGATACCATGTCAGCTGCTGTCTGATGATTTAACCCTGGAGAGCACAGAGGTTATTAGCCTACACTTGTGTATTACATAATTCCAGCATAAAGCAGATTTACTTCTGTGAGCCTTTTAAGGAACTGAAAATTATAGGATCAATTATATGTGACTCCAAATAGAAATTTAGGGAGAATAACTCTAAGCTCTGATGAAACCAGAAAGGCAGGTATCAAAAAAGGAGACAGACACTTAATATACAAATTATATGGCAATAAAATAAAATAAATTTTAAGTTTTTTTTTTTTTAAACTGGGAATGTAGTATAGGGGTGCTGCAGTGATAATTTTATGTGTCAACTTGGTTGGGCCATGGGGTGCCCAGATATTTGGTCAAACATTCTTCTGGTTGTTTCTGTAAGGGTTTTTGGATGAGACCAACATTTAAATCAGTGGACTTTGATTAAAGCAGATTGCCTCTCCAGCCCACGTGGGTGGGCTTCATCCAATAAGCTGGAGGCCTGAATAGAACAAAAACAACAGCCTCCTGAGCAAGAGGGGATTCTCCAGCAGACTGTGTTTGGGCTTCATCTGCAACATCCACTCTTCCTGGTTCTACCGGAACATGAGCCCTCCTGGTTCACCAACCTGCCAGGCCATCGCAGATTTGGACTGGCCAACCTCCACAATTGTATAAGCCAATGCCTTACACTAAATCTCTTTCTATATATGTACACATGCTATTGGCTCTGTTTCTCCAGAGAACCCTGACTAATACAGATGGTAGACGAGGAGATCTGTAAATGTTTCCAGTAAGTGAGGAAAGGTTAAATGTATGGTTATAGTGGTTTTTAAGCAGGTCAAATTCTTTGACCTTCTTCTCATCAAGAGGTGAGGCATATGTCCCCACTCCTTGAATCTTAGTGGGTTCACGACTGCTTTGACCAAAAGGTATGGCAGAAGTGGCACTATGTGACCTCTGAGCTATAAAGTCATAAAAGAAAGTCATACAGCTTTTGTCTTGTTCACCAAACTCACACTGTTGGAGCCCTCAGGGGCCACGTAAGAATCCCGAACACTCAGAGACAGCCATGCTATGAGGAAGCCCTAGCCACACTGAAAGGCCCTATGCAGGCTCTCTGATGACAGCCTCCGGTGAGCCCAGCCTTCATGTCACCTTAGCCCAGATACCAGACATGAGAGTGAAGAAACTTGCAGGCAATTCCAGCTCCTGGTTAGTAAAGTCTTCCCAGTTGAGGCTCCAGACATTGTGAAGAGGGGACAAGCCATCTCCACTGAGTCCTTTCTGAATTCCTGATCTGTAGGATCCATGGACCTGAATTAATAAAATGGTTTAAAATATTTAAATCAAATTATTTTCAGTGACTTTCTCTACCTTAGGAATCTTTAAGTATATAATCATTGCTGAGGAGAGAAACTTAATTTCTAATGTACATTTGTTAGTTGTTAGCAAACTGTAGGATTGATTCCAAAGAATATTTTCCAGTTTTCCTAAACTTCCCTTTTTGTCACATGTATAATACACAGAATTTTTTAAAATTCATGCAATTACTGCCAAGGAGAGCTAGCTGAACTATTGTGGAGCCTATCTGTATTTGAAAGGATTGTCAAATACTATTGCCTAATTATGATCAAGCTACTGAACTCCAGCCTGGGTGACAGAGTGAGACCCTGTCTCCGAAAAAAAAAAAAAAATACTATTGCTTATTTATCTGACAGAAAAAAAAAGAGGTGAGCACAGTTTTTAGTGGAGTTTTATAAACCCCAGTGATTGCAGTAATTTCAGTTAACCAAGGAGAATGTTAATATTGTCCAATGCAAGAAATATTATTAAACCCTATTATATGTAGATTTGGGGCTCAAAATAATTAAGAGAAAAATTACTCTTGAAAAGTGTATATTAAGTACTATGGTAAGGTAAATTTTTATTATCTTGAAAGTGTAGTTACATCACACTCATCAGTGATTTATAAAAGAGTTCCTTGAAATTGAGTTAATTCAAACACATTCATAAAGTTTTTATAGTGTCTCTTACTCTACTGGATCATGTGATGAATATTTTAAAAGTTAATACATATACATAGAACCTAACCATGTGAATCTGTTGGTCTAGTGAACACAGTAAGATTCACTCAGTTGAAACAACTAGGCCATAGTCCTTGGTGGAAAAGATATATTCACACAAGAATAAAGGAGAATTACTTCTGAATCTACAGAGCTTTTATGTTGGACATAAAGAAAATAATTTCCTAAGTGATGGGATATGCATGATTTCATTTCTTTTTCTAAGGAGTTCTAATAGTTTAAATTTGGCAAGCTCCTTTCTATATTTTCAACTTGGTTGGTAACAAAACAAGGAAAAACAAAACAAAACAAAAAACAAACTCCTCACAGAACTGGCATGCACTAGATCTGGAATCTTGGATTGGCTTATTTTGTATTATTTTTAAGTGTTATTGAACATGTATCTTGCTGTAATTAAAAATTTTATGAAAATGACTGCAGTAGATTAGTAAACAATCCAGGCTACCTAGAAACTTGTTTGGTATTTTTTCAGTTCTGTTTAATACTCTGAACTAAACTAGCCTTTCTCCCTTCCTACTTCATATAAATAACTTGGTCCTCCGAGATCTCAGTAGTCTATAATCCTGTTTCATGTCTCACACACTCCTATGATTTTTCAGAAGCAGAGGGCTACTCAGAAAGGGCAAAACAAAGTTGGATTTGGGGTAACAAAATCACATTAAACCCTTACCAGAGGCACAGTACCTTGTGAAGGAAATAAAGAGAGAGCAGGCAAAATTCTTACCTTCAATAAACTGGTAATAATTAAAAGAATTATTAGTAATATATAAACATTCCAAGTCTTATAAAGATGAGTAACTTATTTTAATAAACTTATTGGACCTCACAACTCTTGCATTGTTTCCCCCAATCTTTCCTCTACACCAGTAGTCCCCAACCTTTAGGGCACCAGGGACTGTTCACGGAAGACGGTTTTTCCACGGACGGGTCGGGGAGGAGCTCAGGCAGTGATGGGAGTGATGGGGATCAGCTATAAATACAAATAAAGCTTTGCTGGTTCCACCACGCTCACCTCCTGCTGTGGGGCCTGGATTTCTCACATGGCCCTTGGCTTCCTCAGAGAGAATGTTCCAAGGGATGGGATTTGGAAGTTGCTAGTCTCAGATGGCCTGGGCTCAGAAACTGGCACAACATCACTCCTGTTGGTCAAATCAGTTACAGATTGAGCCCCAGTTTCAAGGGGAGGGGATGTAGATGGGAGGGTTGTCAGAGTTTGAGGCCATCTCTAATCTACCATTACCTACTTCCCCTAAAGTCCCTATGGCTTTGACCCCTGGTGAGAGTCCCACTGTGGTTTACTGAAACCTTAGAAACCACTGGATGTAGCTGTGCCTGAGTCCATTTGTGATCATGCTGCACCTACAAGGCCATATGCTGATGCTGACGGTTGCCTAAACCTTTCTCAGGTGCTTGCTGCAGACTTTTGGGCACTGTGCTTGGACTGCCCAAATGATATATGTGTATAATAATTATTATTATAAAGAAATGGGTCACATGATCATGGAGGCAGTCAAGTCTTATGATCTGCAGGGTGTGTCAGCAAGTTAGAGACCCAAGAGAGCCGACAGTCTAGTTCCTGTCCAAGTCTGAAGACCTGAGAAGCATGAGAGTGCATGGTGTTGTTCCTGTCTAAAGGCGGCAGGCTTGAGGCTCAGGAAGAGGTGATGTTCCAGTTCAAGTGCAAAGCCAGGAAGAAAGCTGATGTCCCAGTTCAAAGGCATTCAGGCAGGAAGAATTCTCTCTTACTCAGGGTAGGGGCAGCCCCTTTTGCTCTATTCAAGCCTTTAACTGATAGTATGAAGCCCCCCCACATTAGGAAGGACCCTCTGTTTGCCTCAGTCTACCAATTTAAATGTCAAAGTCAGCCACAAACACCCTCACAGAAATACCTAGAATTATGTTTGACCAACTATCTGGGCACCCCGTGGCCCAGTCAAATTGACTCATAAAATGAGCCGCCACTCAGGCTCAGTTTCCCCAGCTTTGCGTGGTCTCAAAAGCCCCTGCCACACTCTCCCTTGTGACAAAGCCTGTTCTGTGACAACGAGAGCTGCTATTCATAAAAAAGAATGAAATAATGTCGTCAGCAGGAACTTGGATGGAACTGGAAGCCCTTATCCTAAGTGAACTAACTCAAGAATGTTAAAACAAATACTGCATGTTCTCACTTATAACTGGGAGCTAACCTGTGGCTACGCATGGATCACTAAGGTGTTTGCAGGAAAAAGAACTAAGAGACATTAATAATCACAAAATGCTAATATTTGTCTAGTGCTTTGTAATTCACAAGCAACTTTCATCTACCTTGCCCTGCTGCAGGCCTTATGATCCTTACAGTTGGTATTGCTATTACGAAAGCTGCCTTGGGAGAAGATAGTATCATTAATAACAACAGCACAGAGCCAAAGGATGGACCTGCATAGTCTCCTTTATTTTCACAGCTATTATTCAATCATTTACATTCATTCATTTATTCCACAAATATATACTGAGTGTTGGGTGCTGGGGATAAATTGGTGAGAGAAAACAGATGTGTCTATTTTCATGGAGCACGTGGATTATAGGAGACTGCTGTTAATTAAATCATCTCACAAAACAACATATTAATAAATTTAGAACTGTGATCAATGCCCTGAAGGT